TGAAGACCTAGTAGCATAGTCTGCAGGATTTAAGTCCGTACGAATATAAGTCCATTGATCGGGCGTCGACACACTCCTGATCCGTTCTACTCTATTACTGACGTACTTGAAAAATCTTCTACTTTCATTGTGAATGTATCCTAATACGACTTTACTATCCGAATACAATATTACTTTATCGATGTATGTATCCAGATGGTTCTTAACTATCGCATACAATTCAGTCGCTAGAACAGCCGCACACAATTCTAGGCGGGGAAAAGTATGACTGTGTATCGGTGACACCTTAGCCTTTCCAATAACAAACTTGACTTCTGTTTCTGCACTACTAGACTCTGTTCTCAATTATCCAACAGTAGCTATAACTTGCTCAGATGCATCGCAAAAAATATGTAGTTCTTTCTTTACAGCTGATGACAACCCTTCCTTTGCATATGTACGCGGAATTTGTAAACCACGCAGATCCTTTAATGAGTCACGCCATGTTTCCCACTCCAAACGATGTTCTTCTGGTTACGGCTCGTCCCAATCTTTAGTTCCAGAAATAAGCTTGCGAAGGAACATTTTGCCTTGTACTGTCGTACCATAGGATCAAATAAACTGTTTACAACAGATAATATTCCTCGTCTTGTGTAAGGCTTTTCCTCGGTTGATATTTAAAACTTGAATGTATCCGAAGCCAAATTTCAGCATAGACCTAAACTTAGTTGTACAGGTAAGTTTTCCGGTTCACAAGGAACTTGGAACACAAGGGTTCTTCCTCCTTATGAGTGGGGACTGGTTGGCGTCGGTGGGCTGGTAGTCGTTTCTGTTGTTGGTCAGGTCGATGGTTACCTGGGTTTGGGGATATATAAAGTAAGATGAAAGTTATGATGAAAAATGCAAAAATATATATTTAGGTGATAAATAACGCTAACAATGATGTGAAAAATTATAACAAGTAAAACAAAAACTTACGCAATTGACACGAACCGGTTTTCGAAATATCCTTTTTTAAGTGTCGAGGAATGGCTTTTTGAATCAAATGTTGATTATCTATATTTTAATCATGTGCTTTAGTATTCTCTCGTCATTATCTGCCAAGTCAGTAGCCTTTGCTCTTAGTCTGCTGGCATGAACTGCTGTTGTCTTAATTTAATCTCATTTTGGAAAAGCTGTATCTTGCATAATGGATGTTCTTTTTGGATAAAAAGTAATCATCTCATTTATTTCTCAGTTTCATATAATCATCGAGGGCTGGTTGTTCTTCATCTGCAACCTGATTTGGTAAACTTTTATCTAATCTGGCAATTTCTTTCCCACCGTAAATAATCATGGCGTCTTTCTTATCTATTGGATCAGTAATTCTAAAATTTCGGAATTCTATTTCTATTCCTTCAAGCCAATCTTCCCATGCTTTACCAGTAAAAATTTGATCTTCTGGATGGGTAAACGGTTGTGTTTTTAAATACCGTGATTCTGCCACAAAATGAACCGGATTTGGCTGGTTGCTACTTGAAAAATCTTCTACTTTCATTGTGAATGTATCCTAATACGACTTTACTATCCGAATACAATATTACTTTATCGATGTATGTATCCAGATGGTTCTTAACTATCGCATACAATTCAGTCGCTAGAACAGCCGCACACAATTCTAGGCGGGGAAAAGTATGACTGTGTATCGGTGACACCTTAGCCTTTCCAATAACAAACTTGACTTCTGTTTCTGCACTACTAGACTCTGTTCTCAATTATCCAACAGTAGCTATAACTTGCTCAGATGCATCGCAAAAAATATGTAGTTCTTTCTTTACAGCTGATGACAACCCTTCCTTTGCATATGTACGCGGAATTTGTAAACCACGCAGATCCTTTAATGAGTCACGCCATGTTTCCCACTCCAAACGATGTTCTTCTGGTTACGGCTCGTCCCAATCTTTAGTTCCAGAAATAAGCTTGCGAAGGAACATTTTGCCTTGTACTGTCGTACCATAGGATCAAATAAACTGTTTACAACAGATAATATTCCTCGTCTTGTGTAAGGCTTTTCCTCGGTTGATATTTAAAACTTGAATGTATCCGAAGCCAAATTTCAGCATAGACCTAAACTTAGTTGTACAGGTAAGTTTTCCGGTTCACAAGGAACTTGGAACACAAGGGTTCTTCCTCCTTATGAGTGGGGACTGGTTGGCGTCGGTGGGCTGGTAGTCGTTTCTGTTGTTGGTCAGGTCGATGTTACCTGGGTTTGGGGA